AGTAGAGACAGGATTTCACCATTTTGGCCAGGCTGGTCTCAACCTGCTGACCTCAAGTGAGGTCACCTCGGCCTTCCAGAGTGCTGCAATTACAGGTGTGAGCCACCGCGCCTGCCTGAGAATCAAGTATGTAAAGCACTTGATAAAGAACCAGCACCTGGTAGGTGCACAGTGAATGGCGGCGCTGCTTTTTTTTTGAGACAGAGTCTCACTGTCACCCAGGCTGGAGTGCAGTGGCGCCATCTCAGCTCACTGCAACCTCCACCTCTTGGGTTCAAGCAATTCTCCTGCCTCAGCCTCCCGAGTAGCTGAGATGACAGGCATGTGCCTCCATACCCAGCTAATTTTTGTATTTTTAGTAGAGATACGGAGTTTCACCATGTTGGCCAGGCTGGTCTTGAACTCCTGACCTCAGGTGATCCACCTGCCTCGGCCTCCCAAAGTGCTGGGATTACAGGTGTGAGCCTCTGCGTCTGGCCTATGGCAGCTGCTTTGACGGCTGTCGCTTGTTCCATGTGGTTTGTCAGACACCAGACTGGGGGCTGGAATAAGTTAGTGAAAGTCATGGTCCCTTTCCCAAGCTCACAGTCTAGTGGGGGGAGGTAGAAACTGCTGCTGGAGAGGGCAGCATGCGGCACCAGAGGAGGTCTCCAGCCCAGCCAGGGTCACCAGCAAGGGCTCAGCCTGGAACTGACACCTGGATTTGGAGGGATCAGCGCGGGCTGCGCAGGCACAGGGGATAGCAGGAGTTCCTGGCAGGAAAACAGCATGAGCAAACATTATGCACGGATTGGCAAGATTCTTGCCAGGGTATTTGTTCTTAAAAGGTGGGGCTGTGCCGGGGCGATGTTTATGCTGACACCAAATTCTACCAGTGGCGCCCTGTGCAGCCAGTCAAGGAGGGGCAGTTTGGGAACATCCGCAGAATGGTCTCATTAGATCTTGAGACTGGGGAAGGGGAGGGGCTTTGGGGACCAAGAGGTGGGATGGGAGGTCCCATTGGCCAGGAAGGGAGCCCATATGGGTTTGGGCCTACTGTGACCCCGTTTCTCCCACAACCGTGGCACTGCTCTAGATGGAACTGGAGGAGACAGAACCACCCCTTGAGCCGGAGGACGCCCCATCTGACACCGAGTTTGAGGGGGAGGGTGACTACGAGGAGAGCATCTATGCTGACTGGTGGCAGGAGCCGGATGCCAAGGGTGACGAGGCTGAGGCTGGTTAGTGACAAGTCCTTGGGGGATGGGGATGCAGCCTGGGAGGGAAGCTGGGAATAGACAGATTCACCTGCTGGGCTCCGGAACTCATGGTGTGTGTGGGAGCTGGAGCCCATCCTCCAGGGGCCTGCAGCCTGTTGGCCGCCCCTGTCCCACCTGGGGGTGGAGGTGCAGCACCCCCCCCAGAGCTGGGGGCAGCTGAGACCTGTTTCTGGGGAGCCTCACCCCCTTCCCATCAGGATAGCACCTGGACACCCACTGAGAGTGGGTGGGGGCCAAACCCAGTGCTTTCTCCTTTCCTTTTCAGAGCCAGAGCCTGAACTGGCATGAGAAGGGGGCACCCCACACCCCTCGAGCTTGGGAAGCCTGGGCCCGATGGCCCCACCCTCACCAGCCTGAGCAGCAGCAATAACTTTTTTTTTTTTTTCCCTGAACATCTTTCTTAAATTAATAACAAGAACTATTTATTAAAAACTTAAGATGGGGCCGGGCACTGTGGCTCACACCTGTAATCCCAGCACTTTGGGAGGCCGAGGCAGGTGGATCATGAAGTCAGGAGTTCAAGACCAACCTCGCCAAGATGGTGAAAAATCTCTACTAAAAATATAAAAAATTAGCCAGGCGTGGTGGTGGGCGCCTGTAATCCCAGCTACTCAGGAGGCTGAGGCATGAGAATTGCTTGAACCCAGGAGGCAGAGGTTGCAGTGAGCTGAGACCATGCCACTTCACTCCAGCCTGGGCAACAGAGGGAGACCCCATCTCAAAACAAACAAACAAACAAACAAACAAGATGGACCAGACACGGTGGCTCACACCTGTAATTCCAGCACTTTGGGAGGCCAAGGTGGGTGGATCACTTGAGGCCGGGAGTTCGAGAGCCTGGCCAACATGGTGAGATGCCCCTTCTCTACTAAAATACAAAAACTAGCCAGGCATAGTGGCAGATGCCTATAATCCCCACTACTCAGGAAGCTGAGGCCAGAGAATCACTAAAACCTGGGAGGCAAAGGTTGCAATGAGCTGAGATTATGCCACTGCACTCCAGCCTGGGCAACAAAGCAAGACTCTGTCTAAAAAAAAAAAAAGATGGACACGGCTGACCGGGCCCCTGTCCTGCCCCACCTGTAAGCACTGCGCCCCAGACCCATCCTGCCTCTTCTGTGTCTCTGGACCACAGGATGGTGGTGGCATTGCAGGTTGGCAAGTGGGCTGACGGGGTCTGCCCTCACCGCTAAGCCCCTCACCTGGACAGTTTCCTGGACGAGAAGGTTCCAGCTGCTGACTGGAGTCTCCGACCGAATTGCAGAGGGTCCTCCAGGGTCCTGAAGAGCACTGGACGAGGAGTCTAGTGGTTCAATAAATGTTTATTGACCAATAGGTGCTCAATAAGTGTTGTTGAATGAGTCATAGCACCTGCGGTCCAGTCTCCGCGGAGCTCAGTTGTGACAGTACAAGTCCTTCCCTCCCTCTCCACCCGTGCCCCCTCATCTGTAAAATGTGGGGTGAGGGACACCATCTAGGCCCTGCCTGGTCCTCTGCACCTGGGTCTGAGGCTTGTGTGAGGGAGGACGCAGTGTGCAGACTCGCCACTAGGAGGCGTGAGAGGCCACTCTGCAGACCTGCCGCCAGGGGGCATGAAAACACAGTCCTCCCCAGGCTTGGGAAGACGGTGGTTTCCGATTTCTAAGATGGGAAGTCCTGTATTTTCCTAGTTCAGGATCACTTCCCTTGGGGAATGTGGCAAGTGTGGGAGGGGGCCAAGGACATTTGCTCCTGGTGTTTACTTTCAGGGCATTTACTGATGCAGGTTCCTTAGAGTCAGAGGGAGGTGGCCCTGCTGCTGACCTGTCTATTCCCCCATTCCAGAGCCGGATTGGGGCCCCAGCTTCACAGCCAGAGGAACCCCAGGGATGTGGTTTGATTACTTTGGGCTTCTTGGAGTGCAGTGGGACAGCCAGACCTCTCTTGACCGATTTTACGTGGGTTCCAGAGGCTAGAAGTGTGCGGGCAATGATGGTGTCTGGTGGCTACCTCCTAGCCTGGGACCCACTGCTAGACACCCACCCCTATTCCACAGCAGGTAGGTGGGGCAAAGGGGGCCTCTCTGGAAGGAACCCAGGACCAAGGCCAGCCGGATGACAGTTCTGTCCCACATTTCCAGCTTCCCGGGGGCAGGGTGGCAGAGGTGTCTTCCTACTCGAAGGTGGAGTCAGGGCTGGGAAGGCAGGTTCTCACTGCCCCACCCCTACCTTCTCTCCAGACGTGCCAGGCAAACTGGCCCAGGCCCTGTCCACCTCTGTGCCCAGGAGGACTCCCTGCCCTACCCCAAACCCCTCCACTAGGCCTTTGGTCAGGATGGGAGCTGGAGGGGCAGAGTCTGAGTCTGGAAAAAGGGCTGGGTCAAGGCTGGGGGCTCAGTGACCTCACTCCCTCCTCCCATAGGTGGGTCCCAGGGAAACACATCTGCAGTGGTAGCCTTTCCTGACAGCCTCCGGGTGCAGAGTGGCCCTGCCCCACCCCACCTCTTTCAAGCTGCTGTGCTGTCAGGTCCAAGGCCCAGCCCGTTTCTGGGAGGGGCTGGCCCTTCAGAGGGTAGGGAGCGGGATGTGCTTCTGCATGTCTGCGCAGATGTGACCCTGCCATGAGCACGAGCTTTGGAATCTGGATGGCTGGGTGTGGGTCTGAAAGTGCCCGCATGCTTGTGTTGCGTGGATGTGCCGGTCTGGGTGTGAATGTGTGCCCGCAGGTATGCATGAATGAGGGTGTTTTCGTTTGTTTTGTTTTTTGAGATGGAGTCTTGCTCTGTCGTCCAGGCCAGAGTGCAATGGCTCAATCTCAGCTCATGGCAAACTCTACCTCCTGGGTTCAAGTGATTCTCCGGCGCCTGCCACCACACCCAGCTAATTTTTGTATTTTTGGTAGAGACAATGTTTCGCTCTGTTGGCCAGGCTGATCTCAAACTCCTGACCTCAGGTGATCCAGCTGCCTCGACCTCCCAAAGTGTGGGGAATAAATGTGTTTTTAGAGGGATTCATTCACTCAATCAGCACATATTTATTGAGTACCTACTATGTGCCAGCATCTTGAGGCACTGAGCATAGAAGAGTGAACAGAGCAGGCCAAACGCCGGGCCCACTGGACTTACGTTCCGGCGGGGCGGCGGGCTGTAAACAATAAACGTCAGAATGTGTGAATGAGACGGGTAAGGCAGATGCGGAGGTGGGAAAGGATCTGACAGCTGAGGGGTTGCAATTGAGGTGTGTGGGTAGCTGTGCAAGTGCGCATCTGAGCGTGGCGTCTGAGTGTGGGTGAAGCAGCATGTGTGTGAGGGAGCAGGCCCGCCCCTCTCTAGGCACCACTCAGCCCTTCAGCTCAGGCCACTGGCCCAGCCTTGCCTGACTCAGCTCCCCTTTCCCAGGGATCCGCCAGCCCCTCCTACCTCCCCAGATGCCAGCGTCTCCCCATAGCCCAGTCAGCTCCCCAAACCGGTGAGACCTACTCCCAGCCAGTCCCAGCGTGGGCCCTCTGGGGCCCTCCAGCCCATTGTCCCAACTCCACCCATCCAGACAGCTTCACCTCCGCCACACCTCCGACCCTGATGTCCACCTCCCCACCTGCCCCCACACCCCACTCAGCACCTCACCAGTCCTAGAATCTTGGTATAATGGGTAGGTTAGGGATAACCAAAAGGGCTCTGGGGAGGCTGGCCTCATGCAGTAGGACCAGACTTGGAGAGATGCCGCAGGAAGACTCCATCCTAAGGAAATCAGAGCTACCACCTGTCCTAAGTGCCTACTGTGTGCCAGGCACTTGGCAGCTTATTATTTTTTGAGACAGTGTCTTGCTCTGTCACCCAGGCGGGAGTGCAGTCACAGTCACAGTTCACTGCAGCCTCCACCTTCCAGGCTCAAGCCATCCTCCCACCTCAGCCTCCCGAGTAGCTAGGCACATAATAGCACACCCAGCTAATTTCTTTTTTTTTTTTTTTTGAGACAGAGTCTCGCTCTGTCGCAAGGCTGGAGTGCACTGGCACTATCTTGGCTCACTGCAACCTCTGCCTCCCCCTCCCAGGTTCAAGCGATTCTCCTGCCTCAGCCTTCCGAGTAGCTGGAACTACAGGCGTGTACCGCCACACCCAGCTAATTTTTTGTATTTTTAGTAGAGACAGGGTTTCACCATTTGGCCAGGATGGTCTCCATTTCTTGACTTCATGATCCACCTGCCTCGGCCTCCCAAAGTGCTGGCATTACAAGCGTGAGCCGCCACACCCGGCCCAATTATTTTTGTTTTTTGATAGGGTCTTGCTGTGTTGCCTAAGCTGGTGTCAAACTCCTGGGCTCAAGTGATCCTCCCGCCTTGGCCTCCCAAAGTGCTGGGATTACAGCCATGAGCCTCCATGCCAGGCCTCTTGAGAAATTATTGACAACCCTTAAAATAGTCCTGAGATGTAGATGTCAGTTCCCCTCCACTCCAGGTGGGGCTGAGGAATAAGAGGCAATTTGTCCAGGGTTCCTTGAGGTGGTGGGTGACTGAGCTGGATTTGGACCTTTTCTCGCTAAATCAGTGCTGCTCAGAGAAGGGGGAGAAAGCCCTGGTCACAGGGGTTGGCCTGTTTTTTTTTTTTTCTTTGAGATGGAGTCTTGCTGTGCCACCAGACTGGAGTGCAGTGGCGAGATCTTGGCTCACTGCAACCTCCGCCTCCCAGGTTCAAGTGATTCTCCTGCCTCAGCCTCCCGAGTAGCTGGGACTACAGGCACACAGCACTACGCCCAGCAAATTTTTATATTTTTAGTAGAGATGGGGTTTCACCATGTTGGCCAGGTTGGTCTCAATCTCCTGACCTCATGAGCCACACCCCTCGGCCTCCCAAAATGCTGGGATTACAGGCGTGATGAGCCATCTCGCCCAGCCAACCTGGCTGTCAGCTGGGGCCAGGGAGAGGAGATGGAGGGCTGCAGGGTGTGGAGATGACTCCCCTACAGGGCCCTGTGCCATGGTTCACACCTATAATCCCAACACTCTGGGAGGCTCAGGTGGCTGGACCACTTGAGCCCAGGAGTTCAAGACCAGCCTGGGCAACACGGTGAAAGCCCGTCTCTACCAAAAAATAGGAAAATTAGGCCAGGCGCAGTGGCTCACACCTGTAATCTCAGCACTTTGGGGGGCGGAGGCGGGCAGATCACCTGAGGTCAGGAGTTCAAGACCAGCCTGGCCAACATGGTGAAACCCCATCTCAACTAAAAATACAAAATTAGCCAGTTATGGTGGCATATGGCTGTAATGCCAGCTACTTGGGAGGTTGAGGCAGGAAAATTGCTTGAACCTGGGAAGTGGAGGTTGCAGTGAGCTGAGATTGCACCATTGCACTCCAGCCTGGGCAACAAGAGCAAAACTCCATCTCAAAACAAAAACAAAAACAAAAACAAAAACAAAAAGAAAATTAACTA